ATGTCTTCAGAGCTGGAACATTCTGCCAGTGACTTGCTGTGACATCTCTCCCTCTTGAAATTTCTCGTCTCAGGTTGGGCATTAAGAACAATTTCTACTCCAAAAGAGCAGTGATGCGGTGGCACAGCTGCACAGGTGGTGGGGTCACCAAACCTGGAGATGTTCCAGAACCATGGGGATGTGGCACTGGGGGATGTGGGCAGTGGGCATGGAGGGGTGAGCTGGGGTTGGACTTGAGGATCTCAGAGATCTTTTCTAACCTTGACCATTCTATGATTCTACAATCTTCTGGTCCTCCTCCCTGTTCTTTTCCTTTAAAATCATTTGAGATGGGCTTACAACCATCTCTCACAAAGCACCAAGAGGAACCACAACAGCAAACCGTGCCTTGGCAAAGGTCATTGACAAAATGAAGGCAAACAAAGCAACACATCCTACACTAACAAATGTTACTACCTTAGCAGTATTTATTATACAACAGATACAGTTTGTTGGTTATTCTTTTGTCTCTCAGTGACTCTGCAGATACAGAACAAGGAATTAGCAACAGTATACTGGGAATTCTTCAGCCTCCTAAAGTTTCTGCTTCAATCCTAAAGTTCTGCTTGGTAGCCCCGTTGGCAAGTGTGATTCATGAATCCTCCCAACCATTTACCCCTAGAGTCACCTCATCTCTCTCGTGCTACAAGAGCAGAGCTGAGTGTTTATCGTGTTCCACAGAATGAGGTGTCTGCTCTGGTAACAATTCCATTATTCCCGCTGAGCCCTTGATTTATTCTAGCTATTATTCTAATTATTTTCTCCGACCACCTGCTACGTGAGGCACTGCAAAGCAGTCTTATCTGTTCTGCTTGCATTTGCCAACAGTGAGCAGCGGAGTGTGCGTGTGGCTGCGTGTGCACGCATGTGGGCACACTACCTCCCTTCCTGGCACAAGGACACGGGTGGTGGGAGGAAGCAGAGCATGTTGCCTCCTGCAGCATCTTCCTGTGCTTGGAACGCAGTGAGAAGACCCGAAGTGGAAAGGAAATCCTCTGAGGCTATAAAAAGAATCAGTGGTAATGGGGGAAAAAAATGGGATAAGGGGGAAGGAGGGGTGGAGAAGCACGACATAGCTGAGACAGAGAGCTGGCGCACCCACTCTGGTTAAAAAGCAAAAAGTAATAATCTTCATAATGAAGGCAGACAGAAAGCCACCCACCTGCTACTCACTGTCAAAGAGAGAATATGTACATACACCAAAAGGCAGATCTAACATATTGACTCCTATCCATAAATTACAAATGTGCTTTCCAGGAACACAGTTGCTGTACACAAACAAAACTTTGATATGCCTGCAAAAGAGTAACTGACCTCGTTGCTGGGTGCAAGCAGCAGGTTACACTTCCAAATCAATAGGTCATGAGGGACAGAAGCAATGTTACTCCTGACACCATAATTGCCTGTTCAATTTGAAGAAGCACCCAGTATTTTTAGTACGCAGTCAGCACAATCAGCAAGTTATTATCTTCCCAAGAGAAACCTCTATCCTTAATATATCAACTGGTTATGAAGGCAGTGTTTAGACCTTCTAAAGTCATCTCGGTTCCTTTTTGCCCTACTTTTTCCTGCTCTGAAAAGCACATGGCTAGAAGAGAAGTTAGCATCACAGCAAATAAATTTCTAGACCTAGTCAGAAATACCACACAAGCAAAAATTTGCAGGGATCCTTGACAAGGTATAGCTGGCTTTGTCCCTCCAAAATTACAGTATCTCGTAGCAAGATAAAGATTTTTGTGAAGCAGGGGATTAAGCAATCCCAAACTGTCACACAGCACTACTCTACTGATGAGCAGCTCAGAACTCTTGCAGGAATGCAACAGATGCTCTCCATTTGATTCCTCTCTTTGTTATCACAGTATTTTTCATGCAATAGAAGTGTCCAAATATTTACCAGCAGGAGCTAACATTTATACAGCACTACATAAAAATAAGCTGTTTTTAACAACTCAAAACTATGACATAAAATTTTGGGGTAGGAGATAGAGAATGTACTTTTTCCTGGAGATTCAGCCAGATAGAAGGAACTGCAGTCTGCTGGGCACTTTTCTTATGTTTGCCAGAGCAGGGAAAAACAAAAGAAAACAAATGGTTCTTTTCTCTTAAGACAAAAGATCTTTCAAAAAGAAGTTATAAAACATTGAAGACAGGTTGAGAAGCACCTAGAATCTGAAACAGAAAACATGCCTGCTTTACCACTCCATCTTGAAACGTGTCACAGTGATCCACAACCTCTCCTCTCTCGTCCCCTGCAGCTTCATTTTGTGAAGCACACAGTGATCACCTTGCTGGGCACCCACCTCACAGCTGCCTCTTAATGCAGGTCTCTCCTGACCCACACGTGGGTTTCTTCTGTCCTTCCTCAGATTTTCCTCTCTTTAAAACAACACGGCTATCATTCTTCGTGTTGCTGTGATCTCTCAGCCCTTCTCCAGCAGCCCGCCCCTTCAAGTCCTATTTCTCCTCTTCACTCTGCAGCATTCACATTACTACTTGAGGGCTTTATCCTCCACACTGATTACTCATCCTCCAGCTTCTCACCTCTACACTCGCTGGCATCCAATCTTAATTTGATCTGCGAGTCCTGCTTCAGATTTCTGAACTCATTAATGTGGCTGTCTGTCGTTTGAGCTAATCACCCCATCACCCTCTGCATTCCTAAATCCCCCAACCTAAACTATCATCAGGTCTTCTTTTTCCATTGCTTCACATTTTTCTTTCCTGGTCCTCCAGCCAATTCCAGCCCCTCATCCCAAACTTCTGACCCCTTTCCCGTGGTCTGATTTTTGGATGGTTCTGTGTGGAGTTCAACTCAACGATCCTTACAAGTCCCTTCCAACTTGGAGAATTCTATGATTCTCTGATACCTCCTTTTCTAAGAACAATGATTTCTTAATTCTCTTCATGTCTCATTCCTTGCTTGGCCTTGCTGTCCCTCCTAGTCACAACATGTGAATTCCTTCCTTCCACGTTCCAGAGCTGGCACACCATCAGCACAGCTGTATTTCCAGCTCTTAATCTCTCTTGCAAAAGTATTCTAAATGAGTTGACCTTCTTCACTTTGCTTTTTTCTCCTGTTTTTCTATATTAAGCTCTATCTGCTTGAGGGTAAGAAGGCCCTATAGAGGGATACTGACAGGCTGATCAATGGGCTGAGGCCAATAGTATGAGCTTCTACATGGTCAGTGGGCATGATGGGGGTGGGTTGGGATTGGTGATCTTCGAGGTCTTTTCCAGCCTTAATGATTCTATGATTCTAGGATCTTTCTTTCAATCCCTTCTCACGAAATTCCTGCCTTTCCACCACGTTCTTGTCTTCTCTTCCTGAGGACTTTGCCTTCTTCATCTTCTACTTCTGCAATATCTGCCCTTAATAAATGGATGAAACACAGCATGGCACTACCCTGAGAAGTAGGGCAGCCCTTCAGCTGCACTGAGCAGCTCAGCATCACACGAAGCCATACCTCTGAAGCAGACTCCTGGAAAAATACTTCCCCAAAGCTCCTACACTAAAGCAGGAGTGGCTCCAGATTCTACAGTGAAAAAGCCTCAGCCACTTATCATGGAGAAGCAGCAAAGAATAATCATCATTAAATAAAATAATACTTTCCATGGAAGCTTGTAATTCTGCTTTAAATAATTCCTCCCTCTCCAGTCTTACATCTTGCAAATACTTGGGATTACTGCGTTCTCTTTGCTGAGTCTTATCCAAGGTTAGCTCTTTAAATCTTTTAGTCAGTACTGCTGTTCTTTCATCATAAATCCTCCCCAGCCTAATACAACCTCAGTAAAGACAGATCCATTAAAGAACCCAGAACTATGGTTGCAACCTCAGTAGATATTGAGTCAGGCTTTGCCATACCCTTCAGCACAAACAATTACATGACAACATGGCTAATTTGATGCCCACTGTTACCCTCCATCTCCTTCTGCACTGTAAGAAGATAATCCAGAAGCAACAGAACCTGGGGCAGGAATTTTGAGTTAACTTTCAGCTCTGTCACTGGTTACATCCCTAGTTTTGTGAGCATCACTTTAGTGCTTTGCCCCAGCCTCTCACACTATCACACAAACGTAGTATTTCCTAAGTACTGTGACACTGTGATACTGACATGCTCAAGGAATACTGCACAAAATCACTTACAAGAAGTGCACACCACAGGTTTCAGAATTTCCTTCCTGCACTGAACTGCTGCACATCGGATTGCTTCTTTCTAAACCTCTCTCTCTGCAGCACTCCATGAAAACCCACTGTTTCCTGCCTGTACTTCTAAACAATATATTCCATTGCACTGACAGCTTTTCAGTGCCAGAAAGCACCTAGTCTGACTTTGCACAGAAATATACCTGTGATTCCTGCATCGTGACTGCAATTTCTGCACTATTTTAGGACGATGAATTTGGATTTTGCAATAATGAGATCATAAAAAAAATCTACATTATCAGATAAAGTGGTTAATTCCCTACAATGTTTACCATTTGCTCTTTCATTTCTCATTTCAATCTCTCTATAGATAATTTTAAATTTTCTTCCACATCATTGAAACAGACATTGAACAGCACCGAGCCAGGAACAGAGTTGCTATATAATCCACCTATACACTCTATTTTGCAATTAATTACCTTGGAGATAATACGCTTTTAACTTTGAAACAGGTACTGTTCTAAAGCCAAGGAAAGAAAACCAACTAGGAGAAAAGTAAGAGCCTTACTTAATATCGGAAGAGCTCTGTTCCACAGAGACCTGAGTGACTCAGTCTTTCATGAGGCAGGGATATAATTTTCTGGATGAAGTAGTTCAACAAATCTTTCTTACCTTCCACCTTCAAAAATGAATTTTAAATTGTTTGTCCTTAAGAAACAATTCTGGCCTCGATCATAACTAGTAGCTGAGCTAAGAAAGAGAGAAAGCATTAGATGGAACAAACCAGAAACTCCTGGATATCCTGAGCCATACTCACAACAAATTGGTCAGTGTCCCTTTCAAGCCCCATGTTTGGTAAATCAGGCATCATGTGTGCCACCACTTTGAAGCCAGCATCCTTGGCCAAGTGGAACGACTCGCACACAGCCTTCACGGTGTGACCTCTGGGAAGAGAGAAAGAGAGAGATTTAGAGCCCCAAACAGCCAAGACAGGCAGCACAAAGCCACAAAGAAGAAGACACATTTTGACATATTTAATTCAGATTATTCTCTAGGAAGTGAGCATGGATGAGTTTTATTATCGGTCTACCACCATTCAAGTCTTGGAACACGGCTTCTATTACAATAAACTAGACTAAGGGCAAACAGTACTCAAGTTTGCTGCTTCTCTAGCAGGTGAACCACCCTAAGGCTACAACTTTCCAAACTACAGCCTGAGGAATTTCTGGGAACTGCTGAAATTCACTTTTTGCAGCAGTGACACAAGGAAATGCCACAGCATGAGCATACTGTGCTGAGGGCAACATATAATCAAAACAAGTGTAACCAGAAACAGAAGTATCAGAACAGGAAAAGGAGAAGGATGGGAGCTACATAAAGCCAGCTAGTTAGAAAATTGTTCTATACCAGGCTTGACAAACTCTCAAGTACTCCCTTTAAAGAAAAACAAACTCTTTGTGGCTTCTTAGAGATGTTAAACTTCCAAATCATAGGTTGGACTGGGAGTCTGGAAGTAACATTTTGAGTTCCCTGTTGCTGACATTACATCACAGGAGCTCAGATCTGCTCTGCAGGAGCTTGGCAAGAGTGGGAATGGCTGCAGGAACAAAGGTTGAATCACACCTAGCTCATCAGCCTCAAGCAAACTCCTCTCCTTCCATCTTCCACGGTTCAGGAGACTTCTTCTGTCTCCCCACAGTATCACAGAATCATTAAGGTTGGAAAGGACCACTAAGATCATGAAGTCCAAGCACCAACTCATCCCCACCATGCCCACTAACCATGTCCCTAAGTGCCACATCGACCACTTTCTTGAAAGCCTCCATGGAGCAGTGAGAATCACTGAACAGCTCCAGGGAGGTTCCCACCCCAGGTGACCAACCTTTCCATGATGGAAACAAGTCCTTGTTCCTGGTCTTGCCCAGTTGCAGGCTCTTCCAGCACTGGCTGACATCTCTGGAGATTTCTATCTGTCAGCACCTGCTACTTTCTTTCTCTTCCAGTTGCCATTTCCTTAACATCACACCTTCCAACCAGTTTACCTCTCGTCAACAGGACAGCTCAGCAGGTGGCTCTTCCTCTACTCAAAGGTCTTTTGGGTGAAAAATCAGTGCAGTGGGGCATCTCTACAAAAGCACACTTTCTGCTGAGACCTAATATTAACCAATAATTAAGGATATGGTCAATGGGCATGGTGGGAATGGGCTGACATTTGGAAATGATGAACTTAGTGGTCTTTTCCAACCGTAATGATTCCAAGATACTACAAAATCGAACAGCTACTTCCCTGGCTTTAAGTATCTCTTCCTCTCTTTCTCTCTACTTATATATTCTGCCTCTGTTAAATCTCTACCTGTAGTTTTATGACTGTAGTTTTATTAATGATTTTTTTTCAGAAGTATTACAGTATTTTCTAAGAGTGTTCAAGGACAGAATTACTCAAGACCTTCAGTAGCCTGAGGGAAGTAAATGGGAGACTTGCTTCATAAATAAAAATTATTTTCTTATTAGAAGTGGAATCTGAGCTGCATCAATAACTTGATTATTTGATGCCTAGATCTGTTCTTGAATATTTTTTCTGCCTCACAGCCACCCAAGGCACTCAAAAACCTCACTAATGACTTATGGAACATAATAGAAAGTAATTTCCAAACAGTTAGCCTAATTGGTTGTAATCTGACATTTTGCTACAAGCAAAATATTAAAAGTTTAAAGCAAAACACATCCCCCACAAAGTAGAAGAACAGAAGCAAAATGAGGTCATTTCAAAAGAAAGAGAAACTTGCATCACCCTCCTCTAGAAGTGTATTCCAATACATTGTTCAAAAACACTGGAGCAAGATGCATGAATGACAGCCTGTATTTTGTCTGCCCTGGGAGAGCCTGCAAAGTCTTTTAGGAAATCTGCAAGCAGGATTGAAAAACACCAAAAATCTTTAGAAATGTAATTCTATACAAGATTATTTCAGAGTGAAATAGTAATATACAACTTCATTGTTCCTCTGGTTCATCAGCAGGAAAGCAAGGGTTCATTAGGCAATTCACAAGCCAGAAGTGACATAAAGCTTTGAATGATTTATGGCACCAGCTCTGATCTGGCACGCTGTAGGAAAGCTGAAGATGACTGCAGTGAGAGCTAAGTGGAGCTTCACAGTTCTGCTTCAGGACAGGACATCTTTAAAAGGAGCTTGTGAAGAAAGAAGCTTAAAAGAAACGATTTCTTAAATTTATGATGTGTCAGTAGTAACCATTAGCAGATACACCCAGCCTAAGAGTGAGATCTAGCCAAATTCCCCAGCGTGGATCTTTTCCTTTGGAAAGCTCTGACATCTACAGGAGAAAAGCACCTATGAGTGCTAGTTGCTAACTCTTGGGCTGCTCAATAAATGGTCATTCCTCTCTACTGAGTCCTGTAGCCTGACTGCTTCATAGCAGTGATTTCCTACACTTCCACAAACAAGCAAAACTACAGCTAAACCCACAGGAAGAAATTCATTTCAGATTCCTACCTTCAGGCTCTAAAAGAAAATGTCCAACATTTTCAGTTTTGCACTACTGCCTTTAAGGTGAGTATTATCAAAAATGTGTTCTGCTTATTGAACCACGCTTCATCTGTCATTATGCATGATTACAGTTATCAAAGGTCTTTGCTAGGTGATTGGAATATACAATAAGAAGGAAGGCAAGTACGAGTGTCTCAAGTGAAAAAAACATCAAGAGAACAATCACTTCTTTCAAAATATCTACAGAATTATCAGACTTGCAATGGGGAAAAAAAAAAAAAAAATTAGCTTTCTTGCCTGTAAGGGATGGGATGAAGAATGTATTGTGCTCACTCCTACGTAGGACAACTGTGCTTTTGGCTACAGGTCAGAGATTACGAGGAATAAATCACAAGCTTCCTGTGAACATATTTTGCTATCCCTTAAAATCCTGTATACCTAGAATGACTGTGGTTCATCCGTCAATAGGTGCTGATTTTGGATGTGCCCATCCACTGTACTTGCCAGTGTCATCTCTCCAATAAGGTATCTGGCACAGAGAAGAGGCTGCTGGCTAGCGAAGGACCTCCAGCAGATTATACCACATTGCATCTACTCAAGACTAAAAGCTGTGAATTATGTAGGACAAGAACTACAAGCTCTCTCCGGGCATATTTTCTATTTCACAATACTGCATTTATTTATGAAGCAATAAAAAAGAAAGAAAGAAAAAAAAAAAAAAAGAGAGAGAAATATACACTACAGGAAGAGATCATAAGTTTAAAATAAAATATCACAAACCTCTATTTGTTCTCAAGCCATGGTCTAGACAAGACCACAGCAAATTCCATGCATCCACTGCAGTTTTTATTTTTTCTTAACAGATATATGGAAACAGGACGAGTGTTTCAATATCAATCTTACACAGGTGTGCAAATAAACAGGTTAAGACTTGCTTCCAGAAAGCATGCAATGAGCTGAAAAAGCTCCTTCCCACCTGTTGGTGTCCCTGGCCACGTCCTCATACACACTCTGCACTCCGATCTCCAGCCTCGTGCAGCCATAGGACAGCATGTCGCTCAAATGGCGCTTCAGGCAGTAATCTGGTCTGGTCTCTATGGTTATCCCAACGCATTTGGTCAAGCTTCGTTCAGAATACCTGCAACAAAAGCCATCCTCTATTAAAACTGGGAAGTCACATATCAGGTGGTCCATGAAAACTATGCACATCATCCCTATTTCTGAGTGAGGCGCATGCTACCGGCTTCAGTGAAGCCTAACGGTGGAACAAAACTCATTGGTAGCCTTTTTCCCCATCCACCCCATTTATCACTGGATGTCTAACTGAGACTAATTGTTCCAGCTAGTGTAACAATCCTCTGCTGATGACAAATGGTAAGTTACTGACCTATGAGAGAATACAACAAAAGAAAATAGGAATCCAAAGCAGACTTGAAACAAAGTTCACACCGGGAAACCATAAATCAACACAATCTCCTACATCATCAGCAGGGGTCATATTCATTTCAATGTAAGAAGCACTGCACTTGTCCCCAACATAGCAGTCACCTTTCCAGCAGAATGTAGTGATTGTGTAACAGAGGACAGTAGCATAGGGAAGATACACAGTAAGAAGAAAATTTCCTCTTCTGGAGGGCCATAAAGATGATTAGAGGGCTGGAGCATCTCCCATACAAAGATAGGCTGAGGGAGCTGGGCTTGTTCAGCCTGGAGAAAAGAAGGCTGCAGCCTTTCAGTACCTAAAGGGAGCCTACAAACAGGAGGGGAATCAACTCTTTGAAAGGGTAGATAACTGCAGGACAAGGGGAAATGGTTATAGGTTGAGAGAGGGAAGATTTAGGTTGGATGTCAGGGGGAAGCTCTTTCCTATGAGAGTGGTGAGGTGCTGAACAGCTGCCCAGAGAGGCTGTGGATGCCCCGTCCATCCCTGGAGGTGTTCAAGGCCAGGTTGGATGGGGCCCTGGGCAGCCTGGGCTGGTATGAAATGTGGAAGTTGGTGGCCCTGCCTGTGGCAGGGGGGTTGGAGCTTCATGATCCTTGAGGTCCCTTCCAACCCTGGCCATTCTGTGATTCTTTTGAAGCCATTTGAAACTGCAGACATAATCTGGATAAGCACCAAACCTGATGTGGGCAGGACTAACAGCGACTCTCTGAGAAGCACACTGGCCTCTTTAATGGTCCCAAATGATGAAGATCTCAGTATTCACATGAAATGTCACTGAGGACACCTTGAGTAAGAGAGATGTTCTGCTGATACCCGAAAGAATGCTGCACACCAAAATCACAAGGACGACTAACTTCAGGTCATTATTAGGTATGTTATAAGGATTCATCAACTGATTGCTGGCTCTGGATGGCTGGAAAGCTCCAGAGTTTAGCTTTCAGCATGACGGAGGTCCAATATGACACACACACACACACAGAGCCACAACAAAAACCAGGTAGATTCAGACCCCAAAGCAAAAAATATTAATTCCATTCAGATTGAAAAAGCCTAGGATTTGGGGGGTAGACTGTAATGGCTGTCAACATTGGCATCTCAAAAAAGGCATAAAACATTTCAGAGTTTGTGGCTCACTAATCTGACAGACTACCAGAACGTTGTTTATCATGTCAGGGAAAACATTGCCAAAGTGTGATTCATTAACAGCAGATCAAAAAATGCTTGCTTTTAAAGACATTTTGTTTCCAAATAATTAAAAAAAGAAAGACAAGTTTTAGATAAGGGAAAAAAAAGGTCACCAGATAACTCACCCATTACACCAGATGAAATGTGCTTGTATTAAGCACCTGCGATCATTGCTAGAAATACAGAGGGGAGGCAAAAGTAATTATATTTCCCCCCTGGAGCAAATTTATGACAGTTGTAAAACGCTGAATCTAACATACACCAACAGACCCCAAATTACAGCATCTACTAAGAGTACCAGCAGGATGAAAGTCTGGTGCCACAGCTGCAAAAGCTGTCTTGTCTATGCTGCAAGAAGTGGGTTTTACCTGGGATTAGAAAAGCAGCACAAGAACTGGGGGGATGTGGCACTGATGGATGTGGTCAGTGGGCACAGGGGGGTGGGTTGGGGTTGGACTTCGTGATCTTAGAGGTCTTTTCCAATCCCAATGATTCTGTGATTAACGAGGAAAGTAATGAACATCTTCATATCAGCATCCTCTCTCAGTAGCAAACATTCCCAGCCTGAGCCACTCGTGCTCCAGCTCTCCCTGCACCTCCTGGGGACCCAGCAGCTTCCTTGCATGGGATCAAAATGTTAACCAGGAGATGCCTGCAAAGACAGATCCCAGCCAAACATTGGCTTTAGGTTTAATGCCTCTAAGGCTTTAAAGAACAACACTGGTAAGCACAAAGAGTGCAGTCTAATACTTTATTTTACTAGCATAAAAGCCTGAATTGAGTGGTCCACATGTAATGAAGACTACAGATTCCCTTCAGCTAAACAGAAAAGAGAGAAAAACATGTGACAGCCAACCACCCAAGGGCAGTTCTGGCAACACATTTTTATCATTTCCCGAACAGGGAAAAATGAATTTGACTTTTGTTCCCCCTCTTCGTGACTTTTGAACTTCAAACACTCATTTGGATATTCAGCATGTTTTCCTTTTGCAAAAAGAGCAACTGTCTTCTGTTGGAAATCTAATACTAAATACACTGAATGCCAGGTTTTTATAGAAAGGGCCAATGGTGAGCTACAAAAGGGAGCTCAGAGACCTGAAAGGGGCAGGAAATGCTATTTAAAACCAACCTGTGCCAGTGCAGCACCATTCTTTCTGAGAAGCAATGTTTCCTACTATCCAACCTGAACCTGAAAGTTGTCCCTCAGCTCTCCCAGAGCAGCAGATCCAGCAGAGCAGCTCTCCCAGTTGGCTCATGCAAGGTCTATTTCAACATATCACCGTAACGCATTCCAGAAATCTACTAAATTAATCGTGCTCAACTGTACTGCCCTTGTAGCAGGTATCAGGGCATCAGGTTGGATTAAGGAGCTCTGTATATCATTCATTAAGAGCATCTATTATAATCTCTGCATCGTTTTCATGCCTTTGCTCAGCACCGCCTCCAGTTTTTAAGCATTTTTGTTGCCTCTGATATCAAAAACAGCCGGAGAACTTTGCAGACACACCAGTACTAAATCCAGATGGAATATAATTTGCCTATTCCTATCCAATTTTCCACTATTTATACAGTCAAGGGTAATTTGGCTGCTGAATCATACAGAAAGCTCATGATAATGTGACTTAACTCCAAAGTCTTTTCTAGATATTTCGCTGCTTCTCGGAATAGAATCCTGCACCATTCCTAGAAAAACAGCTTTACATTTTCCCATAATAAAGTAGCCAGCTTGCTCATATACAACTTACTATAGGATGCAGATTTATCCCTTATTTGCCCATCTCCGATATTGATAGCATCTGCCAACCCTCAGAAATGACTATTTTAACACGAGTATTAAACACGAGGCCCAGAGGCAAAAACAACAGAATCCTATTAGAAATCATTCAGGTCAATGAGAATAATTTTCTGCTATGCCTGTTTTGAAAACCAATGCAATCAGTGACATGTTGTTGTCTTCTCTTTCTTAATGTGAAGGTATCTCACTGCACCAAGCCAAATCTCTTGGAGAAGTTTAGGCATATTACACTTTAATGTTCCAAAAAGCCCTGTAAGCTCACTAACAGCATACAGTAACTTATCATGATAATAGAGATGATGGATTTGCTTTTGCTTAATCTTTAAAAACAACAGACATCTAGCCACATATCCTGCAGGAATGGCATGCTAGCCAAAGAGCATATTAATAGGGAACAGATGCTATCCAACTAGGCAGAGAGGCTGAAAAGCTGATATCTATAGCTCCAAAAAGAGTGACTTCAGGATACTCAGTCACGAGAGCTTAAGATGACCTTGATGATGGCCAAGGTGAGCAAAGCTGTCATGAACCAAAGACCAAAAGAAGAGATATAAGGAAAGACCTAAAAACTCAGATGAACTCAACAAGTTGAGAACTCCAACTCCTCAGGATGGTCTCACATACACAAGTCCACATGGTATGCAGGTTTGTTCTGGTGGAAGGAAAGGGAGAAAAGGTTGAGGGAACTGGGCTTGTTTAGCTTGGAGAAGAGAAGGATCCAGGGAGATCTCATTGTGGCCTTCCAGTACTTGAAGGGAGCGTATAAACAGGAGGAGGAATGGCTGCTTATGAGGGTGGATAGTGATAGGAGAAGGGGGAATGGTTTCAAACTGAGACAGGGGAGATTTAGCTTAGATCTTAGGAGGAAGTTTTTCAGCCAGAGGGTGGTGAGACACTGGAACAGGTTGCCCAAGGAGGCTGTGGATGCCCCATCCCTGCAGGCATTCAAGGCCAGGCTGGATGTGGCTCTGGGCAGCCTGGGCTGCTGGTTGGTGACCTGCACATAGCAGGGGTTGGAACTGGATGAGCATTGTGCTCCTTTTCAACCCAGGCCATTCTATGATTCTATGATTTGTGATGTGGATTTCTTCCAGAATCTGAGAGTGCAAAGGAGTTTTAACTTCACACCCAGCAAACACCTCACCGTACTTCTCCTTCCATGGAACAGTCTTATTTGTTACCTGTGCAATGCTGAAGAATCCCAAGTAAGAACTGAAAATCTGTCACACTGCAAGAACAATCAGAAATCAAGATAAGCGTGTAGCACAAGATTACAGGGGGGCAATTTTAATAACAGACCAACCATAGTGCTGAATTGTGCAAATAAAATAGATGCCATACAAATGAAGGGAATGAGATCCAGAGAAACTTTCAGATTAGCACAGACATAGCTAGAATTAAGTGAGTTTTCAGGGTGATTAGAGAACTGTCTGAATCAAGATGAAGTGCAGGAGAGAATTATTCATTTTAATCATTAGAGAATAATTGAGTGTATTTTCAGACAAAGCTGGCACATAAAATAGAACTTCAGATCAGAATCTGCCTCTTAAATAAGCAGGGATTTTAGATCAGCAAGTACCCACCTCTCCACCAGACGCAGCAGTTTGACACAGGGTTGCAGGTACTTTCTCATTTAGAGGAAAAACAGATGGCACAGCCCTGGCACAAAACAACTCATTTAACAAAGCCTCTGCTCTCCTTCGATTAAACTTTG